ATCATATCCTCCAGGTTCATCACACTGTTGGAAAGAGCAGGGTTTCCTTCTTTTTTGAGACTTAAATACTATTCTAAAGTGCTCAGACTGAAAAGCAAAGGAGAGGTTGGTTTTTGGGTACTGATTTTTGTGGTTCCATGGCAGCCAGGAGTCCTGTGTTGTCCTGTGAGATCCCAGGGTCAGGAAGGAGCATGGGTCTTTTGGGGGAGCTGTGTGTGTGTGTGTGTGTGTGTGTGTGTGTGTGTGTGTGTGTGTAAGAGAGACAGAGCCACCACATGGGGATGCATTGGAGTTGAGTCACATGTCACAGCCTATGCGACACTGCCCTCGTCCCTCCCACACTGGGAGATTGTGGGGGCAGCTACTGTCTCCCCATTTCCCAGGAGTGAACACTGAAATCGTGGACAGTGAATGCTTAATGAGAGGAGCTGTTTGGAGCCCAGGAGGTTTCCCAGCAGCCAGTGTGGGCTCTGCCCTCTGTGCAAGCCAGTCTGGTTGGGTCAGGGCCGTGATGGACAGATGGTTGCTGAGGGTCTGGAGTCCCTGGAACCCATGCCCAGATCCTGTGCTGTTTGCTCCCAGAAGGTCGTCGTTGTTCTTCAGTCACTCAGTCATGTCCGATTCTTTGCAACCCCATGGACTGCAGCACGCCAGGATTCCCTGTCCTTCACCGTCTCCCAGAATTTGCTCAAACTCATGTCCGTTGAGTCGGTAATGCCATCCAACCATCTCATCCTCTGTTTGATCTCACTGCAGTCCAAGAGACTCAAGAATCTTCTCCAATACCACAGTTCAAAGGCATCAATTCTTTGGTGCTCAGCCTTCTTTATGGTCCAACTCCCACATCCATACATGACTACTGAAAAAACCATAGCTTTGACTAGACGGACCTCTGTTGGCAAAGTAATGTCTTTGCTTTTTAATATGCTGTTTATGTTGGTCAGACTTTATTTTGGGGGGCTCCAAAATCACTGCAGATGAGGACTGCAGCCATGAAATTAAAAGATGCTTGCTCCTTGGAAGAAAAGTTATGACCAACCTATTGGTTGTTTTTTGAATGTTGAGTTTTAAGCCTGCTTTTTCACTCTCCTCTTTCACCTTCATCAAGAGGCTCTTTAGTTCCTCTTTGCTTTCTGCTGTAAGGGTGGTGTCATCTGCATATCTGAGTTGATTGATATTTTTCCTGGCAATCTTGATTCCAGCTTGAGCTTCATCCAGGCCAGCATTTCGCATGATGTACTCTGCATATAAGTTAAATAAGGAGGGTGACAATACACAGCCCCAGGGGGTTGTACCTGCCTGTTTTTCAAATCGCCTGGGTCTGGGGTCAGGGTTTGGAAACCCCCTTCTCACCCCTCCCCCCACCAAGAATCCCAGTGTTGGACCCCTGTGATTCCAGCCTGTGTGGGACATGACCACTGAGTTCAGCTTTATTTGCCGATTCCTGATGCCACACAAGTGCGAGGACAGCACGGTAGGCTGGTAGCTTCTGTGTCAGTGGAGGAGGACAAGGTAAGGGAGGAGAAGCTTCCCTCCCAACTCCATAGGGAGTCAGGGCTGTGGGTGGTGAGGACAAGGCTGGGAAGGGGTGACAGGGTGCTGGGTGGGAGCGGACCTTACGGTGTAGACCTTGCAGGTCCTAGTTACCTGTCTGTGCCTTTAGGGGCCAGCCCAAGGTGGACCAGGAGGGTGGCCATCTTCTGTACTTACAACTTGAAAACCAGTGGCTAGGTCTCTCTTTTTTTTATGTAACGTAGATTTATTGTACATGAAATGATGTTCAGATAACTAGTTATCCTTGTGGGAAGAAACCGAAAGTAGAGCTCTAAGTCCCTTCTGATACAGCTGGACCACTGGCAGGAAGGTTCCTCCTTGGGTTGAATTGCACTCTGTCTCCCTGATGCCTGTAGTCTGAGGCCACAGGTCTGCGCAGACTGCAACTTCCTTCTTGGAGCCCCTGGGCTTGCAAAAGAGGAAGGAGGAGGGTGTGCGGCAGGAAAGGCCCCCAGGAGTTGAGGAGGGAGCAAGGTCGTGGAAGGTGGAAGGTGCATACGGTGGGTGTGAGTGGTCATGGCTTTGGTGTTGCGGAGTCATAGGGAGTAAAGGTCACATCTCATTCTCGGGACCCCATCTTCATTCCTCTGGTGATGTTTATCTCCCTGACATCTTTTCTGAAGGTGCCCTCTTCCTGTCCTCCATGACTTGTCACCATTTATAATTACAGGTGTGTCATTGTCAAATTATATTATCCCACCCTCCACCCACATTTTATATTCTGTGAGCTCAGGGACCATGTCTGTTCAGTTCACCGTGGTGCATGTCAGGCTGGCATAATGCCCGAAACAGGAAGTGCTTCAGAATTATTTTGTCTCATGGGTGAATAAATGAACACTTGGTTGGACTATGGCTTAAAGAAGGGGCTGTGTGCTGCCCTAAGGACCTAAGACTGGATTCTTTTAGCAGTGCAGCTGGAGAAGGGCAGAGAGCTATTCTGGAACTGAACAGAGGTCAGACTGTGAGGGTCCCTTCTTCCGTCAGCTTGGCTGCTGTAACGAGCGTACCGCTCACTCAGTGGCTGAATGACACTCATTTGTTTCTCACAATTCTGGAGGCTGAGGAATCCAAGATCAAGACACCTACAGCTCTGACGTCTGGTGAGAGCCTACTCCCTGGTTCATAGATGGCTGTCTCCTTGCTGGGTCTTCACATGGCAGAAGGGGTGAGGGAGCTCTTTGAGGTCCCTTTAATAAGGACAACAGTCTTGGTTCTGAGGGTGAACCCACCCCTATGACCTAAACACATTCCAAAGACCCCACCTCCTAATACCATCCCAGTGGGGGGTAGGTTTCAACATAGGAGATTTGGGGGTGACACAGGCATTCAGTCTTTGGAGGAGAAAGGACATGCTTCACATGGGGATGAGAAGGAGATGCCGCCGTGCCTTGTACCATGCAGACTGAGAGAGCTGAGACTCAGCCAGTGGGTGGCCTGGAATGGGAGATGGGGGCCCACCTTGGGAACACAGACAGGAGCTTCTCTGCTGGTCCTGCAGGCTTTTCCTGGGTCTCTATGGAGGCCTCCCCACCTGCATCGCTGCTCTCTCCATTGGAGGCTGGCTGCTGCTCTGCGTTGATTACAGTTTGAAATGCTTGCTCAGTCCCATGCCATCGCACACCGCAGAAATCCCGTTTCCCTCTAATGAGGTTTCAGCTGGCGTGTTGGAAAGAAGAAAGGCTTTTAATTAGATTGGTCGTAATTGAGCTCCCAAACCACAGAAGCCTTTCTCTCAGAAGATAAAGACACGGATGCAATTAAGAGAAAGAAGCCACCTGAATGGAACACTGGCTAATTTTAAGTCCATTAAAAACAACAATTCCTTAATAAGTTGAGGCAAGGGACATATGTCCTGAAAGAGTTTATCAGCGCTTTCAAATAGCGCCGGGACCAGACTGGAACTAGAGCCCTCGTGCAGTGCAGATGCATGACTTCGTCAGGGACTGTTCACTCTGCACAGAGGGAGGTTAGCTCCACAGATTTTTCTACCCAAACCCCTGGAAGGTGTTATTTTGCAAAAGGGGGATATATTTTTCTTGTGACCAGACTGGCAACTTCTGGATACAGCCCCTGGCCTGAGGTCCCTGGGACTTGGTCCCCTGTCTTTCTCCAGGCAGCCTGATCCCCTCTACGAGATTACCTTCCTGCCCCCACTGTCATCTCTCAGAGGTGCCCAGGGCAAGCTGCTGGGGCAGGGACACTGATGATGTGTCCAAGAATCTCTGCCAGCTCCTTACACATTCAACACATTTGTATTTTAATGAGAAGCAGCATTCATTTCTCACTTGCATCCCTGCCCTGTGACCACACCCCAGCAGATGGTGTTCTTTCTGCCGCTGGGTCTGTTTTTGTGAATGCTACCAGGGAACCAGGCCAGGTAGTTCCTTTAGAAGGAGCTCATGATCTCAGCCTCAGGGCATCTCAGCATTAATAAGCACTTTCCCGTGGAGGGGGTGAAATTGCTAGTTTGTGGAGTCTTTTTTTGGTGGGAATTGAACACGAAATACTGAACAACAGCGTTCTTAGTAGAACTACTGCAGGAAACTTGCTCATTTTTCTCCGTGCCCACCCTGGCTTTTGCTAGCCACTTTTGGGCCTTGCCAGCCATGATTAAAAAAAAAAGCTGACTACATCCCAGTTGGAAAGGCGTGAAGTTGGCTAGCATCTTCTTTGAGTGCCTAGTGCGAGGGCAAAGCCACCGTTGATATGCTTCCTCACACTCCCGGGACAGAATGCAGACCTGGCACCCTTCTGGAGCCCACACTCAGGTTGGAAATGTGGAAAGAGGGCTCTTGACCCAGATCCAGGTGTGAATGTTTCCTTCATAAAGTCAGCTCACCTTTCTGACCCTTAGTTTGCTCACCTGGACAGGATTTACCTTGCTTGTGTGTGTTAAGGGCCTGGTGTGCTGCCTGGTTGATGAAGGATGGAAGAAAAGGTAACAGACCCAGGAAGAAATGGGGCCCACACAGCATTGTTAGCACAGGGGCAGCAGCTGTCACGGGAGGGCTCCCTTTCCCCAGGGAGGGAAGCCTAAAATATTTCAATTTGCTTAAAACTCTATCCATTCTTATAATAAACTTGACTTTAAATGATTGGAATTTGCACCCAGTCTCATTTTTTTAAAGTATACAAGTGATTTTATAAAGTGTAAGTAAAAATAAGTTAAACTGTTAGCAGGTATCATCTCTGGATGGTGGGGTTGCAGGGTTTTAATTTCCTCCTCTCTACTTTTCTATCTGTGTAAGAGCTCTGTAATGAATGTGTAAATAGAAAAGCTTCATTCCAGGGAAATGCTGAAGTATATTTGGAAGTGCTTGGTGAATTCTAATTTCCACAGATACCAACCGTCCCAACCATCAGACTGGTGCATGAATAATGGTATCATTTTCTTTTAGGTAAACTGTATAAACCATATCTTTGACTCTTTATTTTTTCCTTTAAAGGATGAGAAGAACCAAGTGTTGACCACCAACATTTGGCTGCAAATGGTAAGTTGCAACAGTGGCTCTCCTTGCCCATGGGGCTTCCTGCTCTTGCATCTGAGATGCCTGAGCTGGAATTGCAGGCAGGGTCCCTGAGAGTATCCAGGACTGTCCTGCCTGCCTCCACGTTTGCCAGCAGCGGAGGAGACCACCCTACCTTTGCTGCATGTGCTGCATGCGCTACACCCTGCAAGGCTCAGTGCATGCTCCTGCTACACAACAGGGTGACTTGGGGAAGTTTCAAAAGCAGAAACATGCACATAAGTCGTAAATTGCAGGTTTGCATGTGAATGTCCACAGCCCGCACCATAACTGATCCCCAGAGCTCCAGAGTGCCTGCCCAGCTCCCCCTGTCTCTAGCCGTGCATGTCTTAATATGGCAGAGCAATGCCCAAGCCAGAAGCTTTCACGCTTCCTGCTGTAGTGATCTCTGCAAGAATTTCGAGATGCTGTGTTTTTTCATTCGTGGGTTTTTTTACCTTGCCTTCTAAAGTTCTAACCTAGATTAACTACAAAATATGTCACTTCCATCCAGCTGTAAATATAAACATTTTAAAATAAAACTGTCAGTCTCTATTTTAAATTGAATATATTTAAATTCCATATAATTGGACACGCCTATCGTTAATCAAAAAACATATACAGACATGCCCTTCTTTACCTGGTGGATATTTTACATAGTCCCCTTTTCTCTCTGCACTTACCTTTCTTTTTCCACACAGAATTTTATCCTTGAAAGTCTTTTTATTAATGATTCTGACTTGGTTCTCTCCAATGTAAATATTTACATAAAAATTATTCCTTCAGAAAAGTGTTAAGAATTTTTCTTCTGGATTGATTTAGGATTACAGTGATTATTGGTACATAATTCATCAAGGTCAAACTAATTATACATTTTAATAATTATTAAACAAAAAATTGGAAATCTACCTCTCTACCAAAGATGGGGCTTTTTTTAAAATTAATACATTCATAGATGACTATTTTTTATTGCTAAAATTGAGACATAGATACAGATTTCACCATCAATTCTATAACTTTTAAAAATAGAAGTAGTAACATGTAGAGTTCAGAATGAAGGGCAGTTTGTGATAGCAGCATTACTCATTCCCTTGAACTTCTTACAGATTATATGCCAAAAATAATAGAGTCTGAGGGTCTTCCCTGTAGGGTTTAAAGGAACTTGCTTCAGTGTGTGGGTCCCACCTGCACACCTGTGCCCTCCATCTCCAGCCTCCCTCCTTTTGCCAAGAGCGCAGGGTCTGTTCTCCCATGGAAGCCAGCCCTTCCTCATTGGATGTGGTCCTGTCTCCTGACCCGGCTGTGAGGGCTTTCACAACTGCCCCTGTTGCCTCAAGCATCATAATAGTGTTTGTGTCACTCTCAGTATACAAATATACTGCCCTCTGGGGCTTCCCAGGTGGCGCTAATGGTAAAGAACCTGCCCGTCAATGCAAGAGACAAAAGAGACATGGGTTTGATCCCTGGGTGAGGAAGATCCCCTGGAGGAGGTCATGGCAACCCACTCTAGTATTCTTGCCTGGAAGTCCCATGGCCTAAGGAGCCTGTCCATAGGGTCGCACAGAGTCAGACACAACTGAAGTGACTTAGCATGCACGCATATTGCCCTCTGTCCCCATGAACCCATCTAGCAACTCCCTGGTTTTCTCTTACCTTTTACAGCAACATTCCCCTGAGCAGTGCCCTCCCAACCCAACTGTCCTCAATCTCTCCCTTTGCATTCTCACTTAAACCCACCTTCATCTGGCTGTGTGTGCAGACGTGCTCAGTCATGTCTCTTTGCAACCTCATGGACTGTAGCCCGCCAGGCTCCTTTGTCCATGGGATTTTCCAGGCAAGAATACTAGAATGGGTTGCCCTTTGCTTCTTCAGGCTGTGTGTGAGCAAATCACTAACCCCCACCCAGGTTACTACATATTATGAGTAATATTTTTCCCCAATTTTTTTTTGATGAGAATTTTCAACTATACCAACAAGTTGAATTTATAGTGAGCACCCATATACTTGCCTCCTGGATTCTATAATTACTTTTACTATACTTGCTTTATCCCATATCTGACCTTCTATTCATCTAGTTTATTTTTAAATTCAGCTCAGAAGTAGACGAGTGGGCAGTGGTGTCCTTTCACCACATATTTCATGGAGATCTCAGAGTCCAGAGGGTTTATTTTTTCTTTCTTTCAAGGTAAAAGTATTTGCATACAATGCAGTACACAAATCCTAAAAGTGTATCTGACAGTGAATTGCCAATAGTGCCTTCAGATCTGCAGCCACCACCCTTAACCCATGCAATCAAGACTGTCACATAGCTCTGGGAATTCTGGGGCATAATGAGAATGCTTCCTTTTTGACATAAAACCGTCCATTTCTCATGCCCTCTAAAGTGCAGAGCTGATGTAGACATTTTTCTCCTGGAGAGAGAGAGACACTGAATTTGTTCCTGACATGTCACGTCATGTTTCTCTGAGTCTCTATTTCTTAGTCCTCAGTAAGTGATTGATCTTCAGCAATGAATGTGATTTGGCATTTTTTTTTAACGGATGTTGGTTCCCAGGAAAAACATAACCGGATTATTACTAACTGCGTTGAGTTCAGGTGCTCCATAAATAGACATCCTCGCTTTGGAGGATGTCAGCAGAGGCCTCTAAATTTCTTTCAAGCACAGCATATTTCTAATTAAGACTTGCATTTGCGGAAGCATCTGCAGCTTCATTTGTTTTAAAACTCACCTTTTTATCTCGTGTAACTATTCAACTAATCTTTTCAAGCACCTGCTTTGTGGAAAGGCATTGCGAGGCCATGCGAGGGGGGCCCAGAAAAGGATGAGACCCAGTTTCTATTTGCAAACCATTCCCAATCTGGCTGTGTAATTTACACTCTAAAGAAGGTTCAGATATCAAGACCAAGTACCTACCTAGAGAATTGGCAGGAGGCAGGCTGGCTGTGTAGACCATGGAGTTGGCAGGTGGGGGGATTCTCTTTGATTTACAGAAATCAAAGGGAGAGGAGGAAAGGCATGGACTCAATGTATGTGGTGAGGGGAACCCGAGTGTTTCTAGGTGTGACCTCAGTAATTAATGCTTCATTCCAGGTGCCCACCCCTGGAAAACAAGTTGGGCACCTTTGTAAAGTATGTCCTTATAAAGCTGGATGGCACGCTTTATCTGGCACTTGTAGCTCATGGAGCAGCTATAGTAATAGCTCCCAGCTGAATTTTAAGAAATCACAAGAATCTTGGATTTAAAACAGACCTTAACAGTTACCTAATCAAACCTCTGTCCTACTCTGTTTCCATCTGGAAAGCCTTGGTATTCCTACTGTGGCCTCAGCATGGACCTGGGGAATTCAGACGTCACCCCCCCACAGGCCTTGGAAGCTGCCCCAGAGCCATTTATAAGACAACCACGTTGATTCCTGCTCTTCGTGTTTCCCAAACTGGTGGCCGGCCTGGCCTGCCCAGCCCGGGTAATGGGAACAGAGGAGAAGTGAGGCTCCATGCTGAAGAGGGTCAAGGCCAGAGTCCCTAGGGTGGGAGGGCAGAAACGAGGACAGGAAGGGACAGAGGGCCCAGGAAATTGCTCTCAGCAGTTGGTTTTACTCTCCCTTGTTTCATGTTGCTGAATTCCTATTCTGAACACCTGAATCCACATAATCTTTTCTCTAGATATTTAAACTCTGAGGTCAACATCCTACAAAGATGGGTTTTCTATACATTCAAAGGGAAGAGGCAGAAAAAATTATCTTTGACGTACAGTTTGTTGATTGTATTTTCCTTTCTCTTACCTGCCCTTGATTTGTAGGAATTTACAGTTATTTAGAGAACCTGAAGGAAGAGAAGGTGTTTGGTCTCTCTGTTTACTTCTTTATATTCCTAGGAGAAAGCTGCTAGTATATTTTTTCTGCATGTTAGTTTAATCATTTGGGGGGAGTCCTGTCAGACATAATCTGATTTAATCTATGAGAAGAACTGACAGAAGCCATTTCAGTTTCTAAAGAGATGTTTGAGCCATTCGGAGACTTTAAAAAAAAAAAAAAAACTTGCCTAAAAAAAGAAAACTATCTTCTTTAATTTTGAATTTTTGAAATTTTGACCATTCTTCTGGTTTAATTTTCCCATCCTTCTGCTTATTTTCCACCTCCTAATTCTAATTATGGAATTAATAGCATCATAGAATATTAGATTCTAAACCATATTTTTTTTTTTTCTGAAATGCTTGCCTTCTTCATTTCTGCATTCTTTATCAAAATAGAAATGCTACATATGTTGCTCATAGATGAAAGGTCAGTGGCTTGCTTAGGGCCGTAAGAGCAACCCACCATTAAGCAAAACCTATGTTCACTGAGAGAAGAAAGTTTTGGGACGGAGGGAAGGAGGAGGCCCACCCACTCTCTTCCTCTGAGGTCAAAACAGTTGACAGAAGAATGTTCAGAGCATGTGTGTGTGAGGTGTTTCCTGACACCGACAGTTTGGCTGTATTCTGATTTAGCATTTGATCCTTTAGGTAAGAGCTCATTCCCATAGACTGCCCCCGTTTGAGACACCAAATGCAGGCGGGGGCCGAGTGACCCATACTTCTGTCCAGCTGAGTTCAAATTCAGACACTCCCATTCCCTGCCTCACATTCAGGACTTTCCTTGAACAGCTCCTGGAACTCAAGAGAAACCTTTATCTTTGTTTAAAATTTATTATTGTATATAACCTAATATATAATATAGTATAATATAAAAGATGGGCTTCCCTGTTGCCTCTGGGAGGGTTGGCATTTCTAGGTTCATGCCTGTTTCCAGGTGCCTGCATGTGGGAGCCGTGCCAGCTGCTGTCTATACACAGATTTTGCTCAGCACCTCTGCCCTCAGATCTGTGATCTGAGTGGGCAGGAGTACTTTGGAGGATAGAACCCTACCCCCTGCTTGTTTATGGGCCCTTTTCCACATCCATTCTTAGGAAATCTTCATGAAAACCCAGGACAATGCTTCACTGAGGTTCCTGCTCCAACTCCTGACACTGAGCTGGCCTTTGCTTTCTCCATTTTTGGCTGAAGCTCAGTTGTTACAGCTCTCATGTCCTCTGGGATGTTGTGAGAGGGAGGATCCCTTTTCTTCTCAGTCATTTTATCACCTGCCTCCCAAGGCCATGTGATTTACTTGCTTTGACACTTTATCTCATTGCATCCTTATAGTGCCTGATGAGGTGCTACATACAAGCAAAATGCAGCTCAGAGAGGGTGGTTTACCTGCTAGAGCTGACACAGCTCTTCTCTGCTGGAGCCTTGAGTACAAACCAAGGTCTGTTTGATCCTAAAGCTCCCAGTGGCCCTCTGTTTTTGCTGAGAGGATGATAGAGACTGAACTTGGCTTTAGACTAAGGGAGACCCCTAGAAGAGCAGCCCACCTTGTTGGGGTGCAGAATTTGCCTGTGCAAACAGATTAGTGGGGAATAACCAACCACAGTAGAGCCTGGGAGTCACCCAGCTTGAAGTCAGATAATGAAGTTCTGAGTCCTGACTCACTTCTCCAGGCCCCAGTTTCTCTTGTAAATAGGAATAGTCATGCTGGCATCCCGGTGTTCTGGTGAGCATGTACACATAGCAGACACTGAGCAAGCGGGCTGGCTGAGATACACGTCCCAGGGCACATGCGGCCAAGTAGGAGCATGGGTGGGGGAGATGGGAGGGGTCAGGAATTGCCAGGGAGGCTCCCTGCAGCTCAGACCTGGTTCCCTTAAGAGATGTTTACATTTGACCGACAAAGCGCTCCCTCTTCCCTGCCTCTCCTCTTGCTGTGGCCATCCTATCAGTGGGCAGAGTAGGTGGGCATCTATTTGCCACACCTACTTCCCTGGGCAGTTCTGGGAGTCCTGGGGCCCTGAGCAGGATAGTGGGGAAGATGAATGCCAGACTCTGTGCTAATCAGCTGCAGACCCAGAGGAGCATCCAGACATGAGAACATGGTCAGGAAAGCACAGGTGTTGGGAATGGAAGGGCTTGTGCCCAGAACATGGGAGAGAAAAGAAGGGAACACTGGGCAGCGGGGGCAGAGCTGGAGCCGCTGAAGCAAACACAGTGTGGCTGGTTACCCAGGCCTTTCTGCAAAACCAATTGAACAAGATCGGCTCTTTCTGGGTGCTGTGCTGTGCTGTCCTCCCCCAGCCATACACTTTTAATTTAGAAACATCGGCCAGGTGGGTCACCACCCTAAATGCCCCCAATGATGCTGCAACAAGTTGTTGTTGTTGTTTAGTTGCTAAGTCGTGTCTTACTCTTCTGCAACCCCATGGACTGTAGCCTGCCAGGCTCCTATGTCCATGAGACCTCCCCAGGCAAGGGTCGCCATTTCCTTCTCTAGGCGATCTTCCCAATCCAGAGGTCAAACCCACATCTCCTGCATTGCAGGTGGATTCTTTACCACTGAGTTACCAGGGATACTTCAACAATTTAAGTATCAATATATCCTCCTTCTCATGGTTCATGACTCTGAAATCCTGATCAGTTAGTTCAGTTCAGTCGCTCAGTCGTGTCTGACTCTGCAACCCCATGGACTGCAGCACACCAGACTTTCCTGTCCATCACCAACTCCCAGAGCTTGCTCAGACTCATGTCCATCGAGTTAGTGATGTCATTCAGCCACCTCATGTCCCCTTCTCCTCCTGCCTTCAGTCTTCCCCAGCATCAGGGTCTTTTTCAATGAGTCATTTCTTTGCATCAGGTGGCCAAAGTATTGAAAGTAAAGAAATGCTGATACTTACCTGCATATTCCTTCTTCTCTGACTAACTGGGATGCTCGTCTGCCCTTTCCAGAGGATGGTGGGATCTCTGGGGCATGCCCTTTGACTGCTATTGCCAGTTTCAGTAGCTCTAGACCCACAACCCCTTGGCGGCAATTCTCAAATCTCAGCAGCTCTGAACATGACAGGGTTTTTTGTTTGTTTTTGTTTTTATGACTTTACATCAAACTGATCAGGTCTAAAATCAAACAAATTGATATGCAATCGAGGAATTTATTTTCAGTATAAATATGCATGTTTTGCTGCAGAAATAATGATTAATTATGAGGAATTGCCACTGGGCCAGCCTGGGGTGTTGCATCACATACCTTTTTAAATCTGAGAAAGTTTGCACTCAGAGCAGGTGGCTCCAGGGGGACTGAATACAGGATGGAGGCCTTAATGGCATCTGCTCCAATTATGCACACTTTTAGGAGCTGGTAAGTCCAAACCTGGCAGCCTTGCAGTCCTGGCTGGGTGCTGCTGCTTGCCCGGCCATGCAGGTGGGGTCCTCCCTGAGCAGTCTTTACAAAGCCAGTGGACCTCAGGTAGCTCTGGGGTGCGTGGTCCGGGGGCAGAGAACTCCAGCAACGGACCTTCCTCTTACAAAGATCCCTCAAGAACCAATTTCAGGTTTAGCCCTCGAGAGACACACTCATGTTCACGTGCTTATAAATATTTCCTGAGCTTTACTCTGTACCCTCGTGTCCTGATTCAGCATTTTAATACCAATGCCCATGTGTGCATTTTTGAGTTGTGGTGTCAGAAGCAGTATTTCTACCTGAAAGTAGTAATTCAAATCCAAATATAGGCCCTTAGACATTTCTGAGAGGTACCCCTGAAGCTGCATGAAGTTGTTTTATGGGAATGAATCTTCTACATTTTTCCAATTTAGTTCTTATTCTAACTGAAATAATGAATTTATTTGTCCAAAGTGTCCCGAAACTTTGAAAGTGAAACAGTTTTCATTTGGCTAGGGGAACAAACCATCTGCTACAGGAGAGAAGGGCTTGGGGGTGTGCAATGGACTGAAATTAACTTTAATGCTACCCTCTGACTATGGTCATGGTGACAGCAGGATCTTAAATGTGATTTTTATGCTATTCATGGTCATTTAGTAAGGGATTATTTAATTCCCAGTTTGCATATATTTTACAGATAGCAACTCAATTATGTAAATAATGTGTCTGGAACTCTTTTTGGCTTTGAACTTATCTAATAATCTCTCATAAGATATATTAGCAGGCAAGAAAGCAAAGTGCTGCTAATGCTGCCGTCTGTGTTTGTCAGACTTGGACAGATCACTATTTACAGTGGAATGCGTCTGAGTATCCAGGCGTGAAGACGGTTCGTTTCCCAGACGGCCAGATCTGGAAGCCAGACATTCTCCTCTACAACAGGTAAGCTCAGTGGACAAAAGGGAAAGAAATGAGGTTATTCTTGGATGTGTTTTAACAGTCAAGCATATTTGAGTATTTTTATAGAAATGCTGGGTATGTTATCTATAATTTGGGATTGTGGATCCCCATGAGGCTTTGTGGAAAGCATCTGTCCTGTGTCCGGCATTCTCTGTCCCAGTACGCAGGCCTGCATCATCCAGCACGCTGCCCTCAGTGGCTGTGTCTGCAGGGCTGTGCGTTACAGATTTGTAGGTACTTGTGTTCATATTGGCACTGAGTCATTTTTGCATGTAGTCATAACTTTGCCTCTGAATGACAGCAGTTACAGCCACAGCAAGAGAAATTGCTGGTCAACAGGATTCATGGCTGGAGTCCACTGTCTGGACTCAGGTCCTCATTTAATGCACTGCACATTGAGAGCACTGCCTGGCGGCTAAGCACAGGAGGCCCTCATCTCCAGCCACACTCGGAAGCCTGTACCTGATGGGAGAAAGACAGTCGTCATCTTCTAATAGTCCATCTCCTGAGGTCAGGAAAAGAAGGATTTTTCAGTTAGCCAAGCCCATCTGATTTGTGGAGTGGAAGCCCAGAAGGCGGGTATCCAGGCAGATTAAATTTCCTGAAGTAATTTCTAAAATTATTTGCTAAACTACATAGTCAAATAAGGGAAACCAGAGCTTCTCTTTCCAATAAGATACAGGATGTGATAACTGTCTTAATACTCACGAAAGCTATTTCCTAGTGACGGCTGCTGTCTCTGGTCCCACTTGGAAAAGAGGAATCCCAGCACCTTTGTGACTCAGGAAAACAATGGGCACAATGATCCCTCAGGACCAGCTGATGGGTTTGTCCTATGAGGACTGCTTCCAGAAGGCTGAGAGATTTTATGTCTTGTATCCACTTTTAATTCTCTGTCTTTCTTACTGGTATGATGTTTCATTTGAATCCTTGATCCTGTCTCTAGAAGATTACCTTTGCTGATTTGCCACCACTCTCCAGTAACTTAACTTAGTTCCTGCAGCCGAGTTTTGAAAGGTGTCTCAGGTCAGAGTAAGCAGTCCCCTATTGAGTAGAAGCACATGAGTTCCCATGCCTCTTCCTTGGCCCCTCTGTTTGCTAGGGGCTATATTAGTTGCCCAGAGCTGCCAGAACAAAATAACCAGTAACTGGGTGACTTAAACAACAGAAGTTTATTTTCTTTTGGAGGCTGGAGGTCCCAGATCCAGGTGTCTGCAGGTCTGCAGGGTTGATTTCTTCTGAGGCCTCGCGCCATGGCTTGTAGATGGCCATCTTCTCCCTGTGTCCTTACATGGTCTCCCCACGTGTGTGTGTCTGTGTTCTCATCTTTGCTTGTGAAAACGTTAGTCACGTTGGATTAGGGTTCACTCTGATGACTTCATTTTAACTTAGTTTTACCTCGTTAAAGATTCCACCTCCAACTGCAGTTTCACTTGGAGATAGTTGGGCATGTGAATTAGCTAGGGGTTCAGCCTGTGACTTTCAAGATCTCAGCTTTAAGTAAAATGGTTTGACATTTTAAAAAGAAATGCCAATAATGTTTTTCACTGTTCCCAATGCAGTTTTTTCATCTGAAATAAAAAATAAATATGGTAGAATTTTTAACAATGAGGCTTGAAGTGATGGTTCTTATGACTTACCTGTAAGATCTTAAACCCCAGTAAATGTTTGGTGCTTCTGACATTCTAACTAATGAAGAGTTTCCAAGTATTCTATACATACTTGAATTTCAAGGAACAAAGATGCAGCCATCTCTGTCTGACAGATGCCACCAGGGACCAGGCCCCCAGGAATAATCCAGCCCCTTCCTCTTGTGTTTCCCCTGGAGCTCCATATAACCATCTCCCCTCTTCTCCTTTCCATATACCTGCTGACTGCCTCCACCAGCCTGTAGCACAGAGTCTATAGAGACTGCCTCCTCTCCTGCATTAATTTTCATCTGAGAAGTGAGATGTGGGACTTTTTACCTAAAGTAACTGTTGACTGCATGGCTGGCATGTCCACATTAGCACAGTGTGGGGTAGGAAGGTTATGAAAGTTACTGAAGCCAGCTGCAGACACAGCATCAGTTATCTTTCACTGCTTAAGTGACTCTGAATTTAGTGGCTTAAAAAAAAAAAAAAAAAACCACTACGCCTTTTATTTCTCACCATGGGAGCTGGCTGGGCCCATGTGGCTGCTTGTCTGTTCTATGAGATGTTGGCAGCAGGCAGTGGCTGGGGCTCAGATGAGCTTGGGTGTGGGGGTACACCCCCAGAGCTGGTGGTGGTGGTGATGGTGCTGTGGGTGGGGGCTCAGCTGGGGCTGCACCTGCATCACCCCGAGCACCTCTTCCCTGCCTGAGCCTTTTTCATGTGGTCTGGTGACTCCGGGAGAGGCATGAAGTGGGGGCTGCCTGGCCCTTAGGGACCCAGGGTAGGAATTCAGACCAGCCCTTCACCTGGTCCTGCTGGGCAAAGTAGGGAGGGGCCCAGAGAAGGGAGGAGAAGTCAGTGCCCTTCTCCAGGGCACCAGGGAGGGAGGCAGGGAGGTTGCCCTGGGGAGACCAGCTGTCCAGACGGAGCAGGGACAGTGATGACACAGGAAGGTCAGAGTGAAGATTGGGGGGAGTGGAAGGACCAAAGCAGGCATGCATACATAATGAAGGGGCGCTCAGTTCAGGGCACCTGTGGGGCCAGCAGGACAGGGAGACGCTGGGCTCCACCTACTGCCACTCCTCTTGCCCCAGGTATGTGTGGACACCACCACCCTAAACTCCGCCGCCTCCCCTTCCACCTGCTGGTGGTCAGCTCAGGGATGTTCCCCAACTCCCGTCATTTATCCTTGCTCCCCTCAGTGTGGGCTGTACCTTCTCTTGACTCCAGACACCTCCCTCTGTCACGTGCTCTCCTAGAAAGAGGTTCCTGTGTCCCACAGCCTGCAGGCGCTGCCCCCCCTTCATGGGCTCCTGGAAAGCACCTCACAACTAAGCATGTACAGACAAGATGGAAGGAGGGTGGGGTACAGGCATGAGGCGGAGGAGTGAAGGAGGTGTCCTGTGTGATGCTGGTGCTGCTAAACCCAACAAGGGAAGAAAGAGAAAGAGGAAAGTCACATCAGCAGCCCGGAAGATAGGAGCCTTGGTATCTGAGTCCAGAAATGGACACAGGAAGGAGTAAAAACAGGCCTGAGTTAGTGAGATCCTGACTCTCTGATATTCTGTTATGGGAGATTTTGAGAGATGTTGAGTTTAGTACTTTCCTCCAGCCAAAGATTCTCACTCAAACTGATGTATTTCCTCAGTGAGCCCACGCGATGTCTCATTACATGTGTATGGTGAAGGTGGGGCCACTTCCTGAAGGAGGGGACACCCTTCTGTGTGAGCAATGGTTTGGAGGGGGGCATTGATTCATGGCAGGGGAAACATCACCCACATGTATGTAACATTTCTCCTTTTATTCCAGCTCAATTTTATAGTCCAGGTGTGAGCCCCACGTCGTTTTTGAGATAGAATCCATTTTCTGTGCCTTGAAGAGGCTGGGTCACTGCCTAATAGGGTCTGTGCATTATTTCTGGGATGGGCTGCTTTATTCTCCTGATGGATGGTGAACAAGTTTATTGCCCACCAGCTGGCTGGGTGGCTCTGAGGGGAGGACCAGGGCTAATAACAGCATTCCTGCTAGATGATGAACCCAGTGGTTTCTTGTTTGTGTCATTCTGCTTTAGTTTAAGCCTGCAGTTCTAGGATTTGTCTGAACACAACCTTACTCAAAGTGAGTGGCGATCCTGGATGACTTGTTACCATTTTCCTCCCTCCTTTTTGGCTTTTAATCTTCTGTGTGATTACATTTATTGATGTTCTAGAATAGGGGATACAAATCAATAAAATAGTTACCTCTGGGAGGGACAGAGGAAAGGGGCATAAGGGAATTTTCTGAGATAATGGGAGTGTCTATATCTTGACTTTATGGTGGTTATAGTTACATGAATATAATCTGCACCAAAATTCAATGCAAGCCACACACCAAAAATCTGTGCTTGCTGCTTATAAATTATATATCAATTTGAAAAGTGTAACAGGTTAAATGGCAGATGGTTCACAGTGAACTGAAAGACACAATAAGCTGTCCATGCAGAGCGTAGTAAAGAGATGCACAAAGATGAAAAATAAGAGAAATGCTGTGACTTTCAGAATAGACTGAGATGTTCTTAAAGTGTTTAATTGGAGTCTAAGAAATAATAGAGAAAATGAGGGAAAAGCAATGTTTAAAGAAATAATGGCTGGGAATTTTCCAGAAATTATAAAAAATACCAGCCATCAGGTGAAGGAATCCCAACCAATCCTAATTGGGACAAATGGTATTTACTGTAGTTCCTGTCTTTGCAGGGCAAACCACTCCAAAATTTAAAACAAGAGGAATCATTGTAACCTCTCCAGGTTACTGTGGCTCAAGGATTTAGGGAGGGGTCCAGTAGGTGGTCTGGCTCCAGGTCTCATGAAGTTTCAGCCCAATACTGGCTTGGGGCTGCAGTCAACAGGGAGCCTGACTGGGGTGTCCAACCCCAGTCACTGGGGTGACTCACCCAGATGGCTGGCAAGTTGATGTTGGCCCTTAGGAGTCTTAGTTCTTAGATACACGGACCTCTCTGTGAGTTAAGTGTCCTCGTGGTGTGGTAAATGGCTTCCCCCAGAATGAGTCATGACCTAGGAAAAGCTACAATGCCCTTTGGGTGGAATGAAAGGCCTGACTGGTATCAGCATTGCTTTGCAGAGAAAAGTCTGAACCCCCCAGCAACATCCCGGCCACCCCTGCATTGTGCAACCCTGGGTGGCTGCCTCAGTCTCTCTGGGCTTCTCAGTTCTTGAGCTGTTTCATCAGAAAATCCTGTGACAGTAATGGAATCTTCGTTGATGAATGTAATTTGCTGATGTTTTTGTTGACTCTGTATTTTTAGGACTGCGTGGGGTGTCAACCATCTTCTTTTTATAGGCTGTGCTAAAC